TTTTTTTTTCGAAGGGGTCCGCTTTGCCCCGGGGGTCCGCTTTGCCCCTACCTCCCCTATGTATGTGGACATCCACATGAAAAGGGACCACTTTGTCGATTCTAGTTTCCGAGATATTCACGCTTTTGTGTCAGCAACTCCCATTTGCACCAATGTTAAATTGTTTTTTCCATCTTCTCTAACGACGTCATTTTTGACCCCATGAAGATCATTTTGGGCTCAAAATGTGCGGAATGTCATTAATATTATCAGAGTATACATAACACCATATCGACAAAGTGGTCCCTTTTTATGTGGACGTCCACATATGGGGTTTTGATGAATATGGGAGAGTGGGGCAAAATGACATAGTGGGGTAAAATGAAACGAGACAAAATGAAAGAGTCAAAAAACGACTGTCTGACGCACTTCAAGCAAAAAACAATTTTTTTCATCACTTGTGCGTAACGTGAAATTTTACGCACGCTCCGCTTTTCACACATTGTGATGAAAAATATCGTTCGATACTCGTGGGAAAAGTGTTTTTGGCTCGTGGGAGGTTTATAGCACGAGCCGAAGGCGAGTGCTAGAATCCTACGAGCAAAAAACACTTTTCCGCACTTGTATTGAAATATGCTATTATTAAGGCTCGGGTGGATCATCTTTCGAACGTTATTTCGATTTTTTTTCTATCTTCATAATGTAAAATATATCACAATTTCCGTTGGATTTCACGTCACTCAGGAGTCCCTAAAAATTATGATTGTACAATCAAAAACAGTAGAAAAAACAATTGAACATTTTCAAAGAGCGTTTTTAATAAAAATTAAGAAATAAGTCCGATAGAGAGGAAATAGTGAATGGATAATTTATCCAAATGAAGACTTAACAGCCATTAGATAAATCAAATTATTCATTTGAAATTTCTTTCCTATTGGGTTTATTTTCAAACGCTCTTTGAAAATGTTCAGCTTTTTTTCCACGTTTTTTTCAGATCACATTCGTTTGTTTCACATCACATTCGAAAGATAATCCACCCGAGTCTTAAATATTTTTTTTAATAACTTTTTTTCTATTTTTGAGACTACTGATGAGAATGATAATTTTCCATTCTACTGAGTGAAAAATTGTTGAGAAGTTTTGATGGGCGAAGATTGTGTCAATGGATTAATTGAAAACAAGATGAAACGGGAAAATCCAAAGTCCAGAGCAAGACCCAGGGGGAGACCCAGAAGGGGAAAAAGGGAAATGTGAAGCTGAATTTCAATGGAATAATCCATTGACAAAATCTTCGCTCATCAAAACTTTTCTACTGAATGGAAAATTATTATTCTCATTACTAAACCAAAATTTTTGCTTGAATTTCGTAAAACAGTCGTTTTTTGAGTGTTTCATTTTGCCCCGTTTCATTTTGCCCCATTCTCCTCTAATTTATGAGTTCTTGTTCAGGGGCTGCAGATCAAAAGCGTTAGCTCATCCCCCAGACTACTTCTTGAATGTGAATTCTCCAGTGAAGTGGTAAACCAGGATAAGTGTAATTTTTATTGAAAAATTTTCCATTTCTTGAATCGATTGTTCTCTCAAACGTAGTCAAATTTTTCAACTCTCCAGAAAAAGTTCCCTTTTTTCCACTTATCCTAGTTTACCACTTCGCTACAGAATTACAAATTAATTTTAAAATTGCTGCAGACCTAGACCATTCTCTCATCACCTCATCATCAAACAGTAATGAACAACTCTAACAATACCGATATTACCTATGCAAGCAGGTCTGAGTGCACTGGCGAGCCTCCACTCATCGTCCCTCAGAGCTGAAAAGCGAATGGGAAAGCTGTTCAAGGACATCTTCCCCGAAGATCTCTACGAGGTGGCCTTTGTGAAATCCGGGGAGAAGAGGAGGAAGTGGTTCCTCGCAGGGGTGAACGTGGCCATCAGAGTGGCTGAGGACATGAGTCTGGATCCCTCAAAACTGCCCGAGACATTCGACCGCATCTTCGAGGCCATGGAGACCTCAAAAAGCAAGATCAATGTCATCAGTCATGGCGACTTGTGGGGGAACAATCTTCTGTTCAATGATGAGGAGCCCCCAGAGTGTAAATTAGTGGACTTTCAGCTGTTCAGGTACTCCCCAGTGGGTCATGATCTCGCGCAGTTCCTTTACCTCTGCGCTTCCAGAGAGTTGAGGGACTCCAGAAAGGAAGAACTCCTGAGGTATTACTGGGATCAGCTTCTGGAGAGGGTGGGGGATGACGTCGAGGCGAGGAACGTTCCGACGTTGGAGGAGGTCCTCCAGGGCTACGAGGAGCAGAGGATTGCTGCCTGTTGCACAGCTGCTATTTACTTCCCAACGGTTTTGCTGGATGGGACCATTGGGGCGGAGATCATGGATCGAGGGGAGAGTTATGAGCAGTACTACTTTGAGGACCGAAGGGAAGTTGTCATGGGGATCATGAAGAGGGACGCTGTTTACGGGGAGAGGATCAGAGAGACTGTCAGGGAACTCGTGGAGATGTCGTTTAAAGTCGAGGAGTTTCCTGTTCCTTGCTGATTCGAAGGAAATGCCTGGAGATTTTTTTAGAGAAAGGTCGAGGTTTTTGGATGAATTATTATTGAGATTTTGATAATTTTCATTAATGTCGTATTTCGTGGGGGGGAGATTCAGACTTGAAAAAGATCAGTGTCATCAGCCATGGCAACTTGGGGGAACAATCTTCTGTTCAATGATGAGGAGCTCCCAGAGTGTAAATTAGTGGACTTTCAGCTGTTCAGGTACTCCCCAGTGGGTCATGATCTCGCGCAGTTCCTTTACCTCTGCGCTTCCAGAGAGTTGAGGGACTCCAGAAAGGAAGAACTCCTGAGGTATTACTGGGATCAGCTTCTGGAGAGGGTGGGGGATGACGTCGAGGCGAGGAACCTTCCGACGTTGGAGGAGGTCCTCCAGGGCTACGAGGAGCAGAGGATTGCTGCCTGCTGCACAGCTGCTATTTACTTCCCAATGGTTTTGCTGGATGGGACCATTGGGGCGGAGATCATGGATCGAGGGGAGAGTTATGAGCAGTACTACTTTGAGGACCGAAGGGAAGTTGTCATGGGGATCATGAAGAGGGACGCTGTTTCCGGAAGAGGATCAGAGAGACTGTCAGAGAACTCGTGGAGATGTCGTTCAAAGTCGAGGAATTTACTGTTCCTTGCTGATTTGACGGAAATGACTGGAGATTTTTTGCTGAAGAAGACATTTTTAAAGAAATGGTCGACTGTTTTCAGTGAGTTTTTTTTGGGATTTTTATATTTTTATCAATGTCGTATTTCGTGAAAGGGTGGATCCCATGGAGAAGTGGTGAAATGTAACAGCAATTGTTGGATTGTTTAAATTATAAGTCAGTTTAGAAGGGACAGTGGAGATTTTTTTTATGGAGAATTTTCTCAGCTAAAAAAAGTTACTTTCATCTCTAAAAAATATCTTTTGACATTCGTTCACACGTAATGGAAATAGTTGAATTATCTCAGCAATTACAGAGTTGAAGTGAGAATGTCAAGAGCCATTTTCATTTTAGAAAATCGTCAGTTATGAGAAAAAAACTCTCGATAATTTTAAAAAATCACTTGTATTTGAGGTGAACAATTCGTACTTGAACTCAAATTTAATGAAAAATTTGAAAAATTGGGGTTTCAGATCTTGTCAATTGTTGAATTATGTCGTTAATGGGTGATTTGAGAAGAAAATGTCGAGAAACATTTTTTGTAGAGGATTTTCTCATCTTCCAAAATATCTTTTGACTATAAAATTACTCATTAACGAGATAATTTATTATGAAAGAAACTTAAAATTTCATTTTAAAACCCAATTAAATAGTGAACGTAATCAGAACCACTCAATCATCTTTTCTCAAATGAAAAAAAAAAAAAGTTTTCTAGATGAACAACTCACATTCAATCAGCAAAAATCGATTTCTTAGATCTTATCAATTACTGAATCATCTTGTGAATGACTGATTTGAAAACAAAATTTCTTTTGAGAACCTCCTTGTCTCCAAAAAAACATCTTTTGACATTGTTTCACTAAAAACGTTCTTCAGCTACGAAAAAAATCTCTTCATAATTGACAAAAGATCATTTGTGTTCAAAATAAACATTTTTTTTGTCATTTTAAAGAAACTCAAATCTCATATGAGAAAAAACAATGATTCATACTTGCAAAAAATGTAAAAATCGAGTAGTTTATTGTTTTGCAACATTTCACCACTGGAATCATCTCCCTTCATCAATAATTAAAATGAATCTCTCCAATCCCCTTAAAAATACCACATTTATTTCAACGAAATAATAACGAACATGCGTATTAACTCGGTAAAATCCTAGCCAGAAAACTCCAGTCCAAACTGACGAGTTTCACGTCATTATCGTCATTATCATTACCACCTTCAACATCCATGGAAGTCGTCTCGATACTCTGATGATTCCTCACCTCAATTCCGTCTTCTTCGTCACTGTCATCGGAATTCTGTGACTCACTGTTTGCATCACTGAAAAAAACCATCTAATTTTAGCGAAAAAAAGCCCACGCACTGCGAAAAAAAAATCTCGAAGAAATTCATAAGATAAATTCAATTATTGTATTTAAATAGGTGATAAAGTCCAATGAATTTTTAAATAAATAAATAAGTTTGTAAAATACCTGGAGGTCTTGTCGTCCTGACTTTTCCGCTTATTCTCCTGCTTCGCCCTCAACGATAGTATGAATGGTGCACAAAGCAGTCGCATCGGTGGGAGAGTGTGTGCTGGTAACGTGAGCAACTGAAAAATAAAGATAATTGAGGGAAAAAATGGGATTTTTACTACGGTAAAACAAGAGACTTTGACTTCAACTTTCAAATTTAATAAAAAATTTGGTAAATTAGGGTCTCAAATGTTGTCAATGGTTGAATTGTCTTGTTAATCAGTGATTTGAGAACAAAATTTTGAGAATTTTTGCTTAGAGAACTTCCTCGCCTCCAAAAAACCATCTTTTGACATTTTTAACAAACAAATTCTTCAGCTGTAAAAAAATCTCTTGATAATTGACAAAAAAATCACTTATTTTCAAGATAAACAAGTTGATTTGGAGAAATTCAAATGCCATAAGAAAAAAAAATTGTTCATACTTGTTAAAAATGTACAAATCGAGTAGTTTCACCACAGAAATCATTATCCTTCATTAATAAGTGAAATAAATTTCTCTCATCCCCTTAAAATTGTTAAAAAAACGTCAAGAGAGATTTTTTTCTAAAAAAGTTTCTCAGCTTGACAAAATATCATTTGAAAATTGAGAAACTGCAAGTTTTCTAGATGACCTGTGGAAGAGTGTGTGCAGGTAGCGTGAGCAACTGAAAAATAAAGACAATCGAGGGTAAAAATGGGATTTTTACGACGGTAAAACGAGACTTTGACTTCAACTCTCAAATATTTAATAAAAAATGTGGCAAATTGGGGTCTCAAATGGTGTCAATTGTTGAATTGTCTTGTTAATGAGTGATTTGAGAACAAAATTTTGAGAATTTTTGCTTAGAGAACTTGCTCGCCTCCAAAAAACCATCTTTTGACATTTTTAACAAACAAATTCTTGAGCTGTAAAAAAATCTCTTGATAATTGACAAAAAAATCACTTATTTTCAAGATAAACAAGTCGATTTGAAGAAATTCAAATGCCATAAGAAAAAAAAAATTGTTCATACTTGTTAAAAATGTACAAATCGAGTAGTTTCACCACAGAAATCATTATCCTTCATTAATAAGTGAAATAAATTTCTCTCATCCCCTTAAAATTGTTAAAAAAACGTCAAGGGAGATTTTTTTCTAAAAAAGTTTCTCAGCTTGACAAAATATCATTTGAAAATTGAGAAACTGCAAGTTTTCTAGATGACCTGTGGAAGAGTGTGTGCAGGTAGCGTGAGCAACTGAAAAATAAAGATAATTGAGGGTAAAAATGGGATTTTTACGACGGTAAAACGAGACTTTGACTTCAACTCTCAAATTTAATAAAAAATTTGGCAAATTGGGGTCTCAAATGGTGTCAATTATTGAATTGTCTTGTTAATGAGGGATTTGAGAACAAAATTTTGAGAATTTTTGCTTAGAGAACTTCCTCGCCTCCAAAAAACCATCTTTTGACATTTTTAATAAACAAATTCTTGAGCTGTAAAAAAATCTCTTGATAATTGACAAAAAAATCACTTATTTTCAAGATAAACAAGTCGATTTGAAGAAATTCAAATGCCATAAGAAAAAAACAATTGTTCACACTTGTTAAAAATGTACAAATCGAGTAGTTTCACCACAGAAATCATTATCCTTCATTAATGAGTGAAATAAATTTCTCTCATCCCCTTAAAATTGTTAAAAAAACGTCAAGGGAGATTTTTTTCTAAAAAAGTTTCTCAGCTTGACAAAATATCATTTGAAAATTGAGAAACTGCAAGTTTTCTAGATGACCTGTGGAAGAATGTGTGCAGGTAGCGTGAGCAACTGAAAAATAACGACAATCGAGGATAAAAATGGGATTTTACAGCCGTAAAATGAGAGACTTTGACCTCAATTCTGAATTTCCACAATTTAGTTTATCTGGGTTGATTCATGGTGACGCGACAACCCACGTATTTCCAATTCTCATACAAAATATGAACGAGATAGGCCCACACGTCACGTCTAAACAGTAGAAACTCAGCGTATTGTTTAAACTAAACACAATGACACAATAGATAGGTATTGTTTGACTTTGCAGTTGAATTTAAAAAAAAAAAAAGAAAACAGGTAAGATGCAGAGGCAAATGAGAGAGATGATGATTGATAAGTAATTGTGGACGTGCTGGTTAGAATTGGAATTGTTATTCAGTGTGAATGAAGTATTTTTAATTCACAGTTGAAGTCGTGAACTGACAAGAATTATTTCCTTGAGAATATCTAGAAAATAGGAAAAGATGACGACATTTTTGCTCAAACTCAAAATTTTCGAATAAATATAAATAACGATTATTGCTATCGCCTTCATTTTCGAACTCGGTCAAAAGGACATCCAAAAAAATTTTTTAAACCCTCATTCAATCAATTCAGAACATTTCGTTAGTTATCGGGACAAAAAAACAATTTTTCCAAAATGTAAAAAATTAATAAATTAATTCAATTTTAATTAATGGTCATTGTTAGGGCTTAACAATACCTACATTTGAGAGGAAAAAAGATTCAATTCTATCGATTCACTAGCGAAAAATCGAAGAGAAATTTGTTTACATGGAATAAAAATTGCATTTTCGGACTTTTTGGATCATAATGAACCGCTATAATACGAAAAATCCAAAACTGAAATACGAAAGTTTCTAAAGAACTTTTTTTGTAGCTCTCATTTCCCTCTACAAAAAAATTTGAATGAAAATTTCGCTATCTCCTTTGTATTCCAAGATTTTTTTCAAAAATTCAATCAACGTGACAGAACAATGAAATTTTATTCAGCATTCAGTTGTTGCTGAATATACTGGGATCGCACGGAGATACTAAAAATCTTCAGAGGACTTTTTTCGCAAAGTAGAATCAGAGCAACAAAATGAAGAATACAAAAAAATCAAAGACAAAAAATTCTTCTACCATCTCCCTCAACTCGAAATCTGTTCCCCTCTGCCACTTCGCGACCGAATATATTTCTCCAATTGAATAAGTCCATGTTATTCGTCAAGCTTGGGAATTTTCTGACTCATAATAAGAAGTAACAATCAACTGGTCACGTAAACCCATACGGCGGAATAACTTCAATTAAATCTGCCCACGAGCCTTTCCTGTTGACCTGTTCCACTTCACTCGGTCCTTTCCTCCCTTTTCTTATTCATTTGTTCACTATCTTTTCCCTTTGTATAATTTAACACTGTGAAATCACTCGACAAATCACAGGTCATCGCACTCGCAATTGATCTGACATAATCTGGCACAAATTGTTGAGTGGGGAGAGAATATAACATTGATATGGATACATGGTGTTACGTTCAATTGCAGGAAGCCAGGGTGGGGGGAGTATTTTTTTTTCTTATGACGTACGAAAACAAGAGGAGATTCTCACCACATCGACCTAGCAAGACGAATTGAATATTGAGAAAATTAATCAAGGACACGTGATACTCGTTACCCGAAATTTTTTTGCCACAAGACTTTGTGCACAAGGCTCATTATTCCATATAAACATGGTATAGGAAATTATACAGGATTTACTATGGAGCATTCGAAGATTTCCAATTGGGTTTTCCCAGTGGATATTCTATATAATTTAGTAAGGAATTCCCTGTGAACATTAGGTTTTGAACATTTCTTGTCAGATTTTTCAAAGCAGAATTTTCTATTATAGAATTTCCGATTAGGTTTCCGAGAACACGTGATACGCATCACTCGAATTTTTTTTATCCTCCGAGAGGGAATTCCACATGAACATGCTGTCAGAATTCTGTAGGATTTTTTATGGGATTTTTTATAGGATTTCCAATACGATTTCCTAGAACCCGCGATACGCATCACTCGAATTTTTCTTATGCTCTGAGGGGGGAATTGTTCTGTATAAACATGCTATAGGAAATTCTATAGGATTTCCTATGGAGAATTTAAAAATTTCCTGAAGAATTTTTCATGGAAAAGAAAAACAAATTTTATAGGAATTCCCTACAGAATTTTCGATTACTTTTCCTAGAACACGTGATACGCATCACTCGAATTTTTTTTATCCTCCGAGAGAGAATTGTTCCACATGAACATGCTGTAAGAATTCTCTAGGATTTTTCATGGAGAATTTGAACATTTTCTATTGGGTTTTCCTAGTGGATTTCCTATAGGATTTCCAATACGATTTCCTAGAACAGGCGATACGCATCACTCGAATTTTTTTTATGCTCTGAGGGGGGAATTGTTCTGTATAAACATGCTATAGGAAATTCTATAGGATTTCCTATGGAGAATTCCAACATTCCCTATTGGGTTTTCCTAATGAATTGCCTATAGGATTTAGTATGGGATTCCCTATGGAGAATTTAAACATTTCCTGAAGGATTTTTCATGGAAGAGAAAAACAAATATGGAGAATTTGGACATTGCATACAGGATTTTTAGAATAGAATTTCCTACGGAATTGCCTATAGAATTGCCTATAGGATTTAACCATACAATATCTTAGAGGATTTCCTATGGCGTTTTTTATAGGATTGTCTACAGGAATTCCTATAAGATTTCCCATAGGATGTTCTATAGAATTTTCTGTCATTGCTTAGAGGATTTCCTATCGAGTTTCTTGTATGATTTTCTATAGGGTTTTCTATAAGGTTCCCTAAGTAGAATTCGACCATTTTCTATAGGATTTCCTGTAGGACTTCCAATAGGATTTCCTACGACGTTTCTGATAAAATTGTATAGAGGATTTCCTACAGAATTCCCTATATTGAATTTCAACATGTCCTAGTGGATTTTTCATACAGAATTTCCATAAGATTTTTTCCTATATTTCTCACGTGTTGATTGACGGTAAAAAGAATAACGAAATTTTTTGTCAAACACTTTAATAATTAATTTCGTGACATCCCCATGACATTACTGCGTTCCGTTAGCCTCTGAGAATCTTAATTCGAGGTTCTACCAACATTATCAATGACAATACCATGATATTTTTCATTTCCAATGCTGATTCTTATTTTCTCTCGTCACAGAACGCCTGCATTTTTTCTAGATTTCCTCGAAGACTAAAATACTTGGTACAGAAATTAATCCTGATTAATATCGATCGATACCATTGTCTT